AATACTAGTACTACCCCCATTCTTCATTTGGTACTAGTAGTGGTCACTTTTTACTTCAGCATGGTTCATCCCCAAAAATGAAGACAAAGAATTCTGGGCAAAGGGSRAAAGGGTAGAAACTAMCTGGTGCAGMAAAAARYGCGACGACACTGGCAGGGTTCGAACCTACGCGGGATAAACCCAATGGATTTCAAGTCCATCGCCTTAACCACTCGGCCACAGTGTCGTTGTGACCAGGACAACTTTAAGTAATTATGAACTTATTGCTGGTCAGTCTGATACGTACACACCTCAGACTTTTCTYATCGACTWKTCTTCTTCGTGTCCCATGTAGCGTGTACGTAGTTCGAGTCTGGCACGATACAAAAACGATTTTGTAAATCTACCGGTACTCCTCTTGTTTATCATTAATCATAACAATATTACTATTAGTTCGAACAAGAATATGATATGTTTCGCAAAATGAAGGATCCCAACTAGATTCCTGTATTTTCTGGTGCATCCGTACATATCTAGCTAGATAAGTGTAGTGATCCAAAGAGCAAGCATAGTATTCTGTGCCATATTCAATCGCTTACAAAGCTCGGCTCGGCTCCTGTTAATTCGCTCAAGCACTGGTAGATCGTTCTCCCTTGTGCAAACCTCCGGCCAAAAAGAGTTTTCCAAGGCCTCCGCCAACGTATTTGTCCATCTGTTCGCAATAGTTTTCGATTTGATTTGTGACCAAGAGACTCTCCATTCGTTTCGGAGCTTCGGGGGCGGCCCAGCTCGCTTTTGATTTATTGTTGCCTCTCGCCAGGTGCCGTGTGTAGTATTGGAATTTTTGTTGCTCGCCCGCTAGTTCGTCGACCCATCCACACAGTGATTCTAGATGCTTTTCAAGGTACGGTTGCGTGCTCATGTCCAAACGATCCAGGGCAATGCCCGACTTGGGAGTCCAGTCCTGCAGCATGGCGGTTGCCAGGCTCGGGTTTGTGCATCTCACGGGCAGCTCTTCGAATATATTGGAGGGCTTGAGGAAATCATTGCTACCCGATTTCTTCATTTCCACGCATTCATCGGACAACCGAAAGGCCTTGAGGCAAAAGTTTCCGTTCGCCGTTTGTAATGGGTCGTATAGAATAACCACGGCATTGGGAGAAACTTCTGTTTGGTAACTAAATTGRTTTTCCAACACACTGGCAGTCGAATAAACTCCCAGGTACATCGATTGGTACCATCCAACGCAATTGTTATCTACGTTGACCTCGCGGAGCATGCGCATCATTTCCACCTGATATTCCTCGTCGATGTCGTCGTCGGTCTTTCCGGCGGGGTTTGGAAAGGCGTGCGTGACTTCCAAAATATCCCCGTCCACAGCGAGTCCCAGAAGCGCTCCCTGGACCATATTTGGCAGCGATTCTTGGCAATGCTTCACGATTTTCATCATTGCCTGTTGCCAMGAATGACCAAACAGCAAAACACAGCATGCGAATATCGACAAAAGRTTCGTGTACAAATACCGAAGAACGTACCGTGCACCGCGTATTTGGCAAAGTGAGATTAATAGAAAAAAAATTGAGTCGCTGAASAGATTGGTTCCGGTGAAACAAAAGAGTCGGAGTTCTATGTTGCACGGGTTGGGCAGCTTGCAACGAGCCTAGCCTGGACAGATGAGACGGAACGTGGACTTACAAGGCCTTCAATGTGCACCTCCTTGATGCGGGATTGAGGTAAGAATACTGCTGACATTGTTGCTTTTTATWTTTGCTGTTCGTAAGTCTAAGTTCGTTTAGTATTGATTTTCTCCGAACAGGGAATCGCAATAGGTAGGTGTCGMTTCCTTTCTCGTTTGCTTCCACACCAGCAAGAAATCGATACTTGAACGGCAGTCCGCGGAGCCCTTTTCTTGCAGTATTTCAACAGGCGATTTACCGTTCGGTTCGTACGGTATGGCACTTTACCCTTGCTCCGTCCGAATGACGGTAAGTTCTAGTGCGTGCCGTGTGGTACTGGCCTGTATGGTACTACGAGTAGTCGCACTCAGTGAGTGAATTAGTTTGTTTGTGGTGGAACTCCACGACTGTCCGTCCGCCATACGTCTTGCAGAAATCGATCTTGGAGGCCACACAATCCCTTTTTTCCCTTACGAGTGCCAGTACGAAACCGCTTTAGGCGCCCCTGTGCTGCATCACAGTAAATGAAGGTTTGGAGGAAGATATTTTTACCGTTTTGGGCTCTGTAGAATAAGTACCTATTCGGACTGCTTCTCGTACCGCTGGGSCAGAAACATCACCGTCGATCCTCCCGCCCGCAGCAGCAAAACTATCCAATCCTACGGTACTCCTAACGCAGCGGTCGGAATCGAATCGAATCTATTTCACATACACTCCCGCAAATAATTCCACACAACAAAAACCTAAAGCACAACCAGCAAACAAAATGTCCGCCGAAGAGACCCCAGCCCATCCCGCTCCCGCACCGGCTCCYGATGCCTACGTGGACGAAAACGGAAATCCCTGCTCCAAGAATGCTTACAAAAAGCGCATGAAGGCGGAGGCCGCTGCCAARAAGAAGGCGGAGAAGGAAGCCGCTAAGGCCGCCAAGGCTGCGTTGCAACCGGCGAAGAAGAAAAAGGAAGAAGAAATCACTGACCCCAACCAATTTTTGGAGAATCGCAGGAACGCCATTGCGCAAATGGAAAAGGAAGGCATGAATCCCTACCCCCACAAGTTCCATGTCGATTTCCGAATCCCCGATTTCAATGCCGAATTTGAAACCAAGACCACAGCYGGAGAGAAGATAGAGGATAAAGTCGTTTCAATTGCGGGTCGCATTGTTTCGGTCCGCCACCAAGGAAAGTTGTTCTTTTACGATCTTAACGGAGACGGAGCAAAGGTTCAAATCATGAGTGATCCGAAGACCTACGAGGACGAAGAGGAATTTGCAAAAATCCACAGAATGCTCAAGCGAGGAGATATTGTTGGAGTGACTGGGTACCCGGGAAAGTCGAAGAACGGGCAGCTCTCTGTTTTTCCTAAGACAATGATTCTTTTGAGCCCCTGTCTCCACATGGTCCCCTTTTCCAAGGGCGACTCTTGTCTGGGTGGTATTACAAATATGGAAACCCGATACCGCCAGAGGTACCTGGATTTGATTGTCAATGAAGAGGTCCGTGACATTTTCGAAATCCGAGCAGGAATCATCACGGAAGTCCGCAAGTACCTCGACGACCGACACTTTTTGGAAGTCGAAACCCCCATGATGAACATGATTCCTGGGGGGGCGACCGCAAAGCCCTTTATCACCTACCACAACGATTTGAGYATGGACTTGTACTTGCGAGTAGCACCCGAATTGTACTTGAAGATGTTGGTCGTCGGAGGCCTTGATCGTGTCTACGAAATCGGGCGACAGTTCCGAAACGAGGGAATCGACTTGACCCACAATCCAGAATTTACCACCCTCGAGTTTTACCAGGCCTATGCCGACTACAACGATTTGATGGACATGTGTGAGGAACTTGTTTCCGGTCTCGTCAAGAAAATCTGTGGAAGCTACAAGATCAAATACGCTCCAAAGCCGGGCATGGACGAGGTCGAGATCGACTTTACTCCCCCATTTAAGAGAATCAGCATGATCGAAGGTTTGGAAGAACGAATGAACACAACATTGCCAAAAATGGACGACCCCGAAATCGAAACCAAGCTTCTCGCACTCTTGAAGGAACACAACCTCGAATGTACCCCGCCCCACACCACGGCCCGTTTATTGGATACCTTAGTCGGGGAATTTTTGGAAGACAACATCATTCACCCTACTTTCATTACCGAGCATCCCCAGATCATGAGTCCTCTTGCGAAGTACCATCGCTCCAAGAATTTCTTGACGGAACGGTTTGAATTGTTTGCTGCTGGAAGAGAGGTATGTACTATTTTTTGTTTCGAAAGAGCATATGTGGTGCGCTTTGCAGATAACCGTCCTTTTGTGATATCTTGTCATATCTGATTCGTTCTTCTTTTCTATTTTTGTCGGCGTCGCAAACCATAGTTGGCAAACGCCTACACCGAATTGAACAACCCAGTYGTGCAGCGCGAGCTCTTCTTGGAGCAAGCCAAGGCGGGAAGTGCTGGAGACGACGAAGCTATGGTGCTCGATGATTCTTTYGTCACTGCCTTGGAACACGGATTACCTCCAACCGGTGGATTCGGTTTGGGAATCGATCGCCTTACCATGTTCCTATCGAACAAGGCTAATATCAAGGAAGTTCTTCTATTCCCTGCGATGAAGCCTTCTGATGAACAAATGGCGTTGATCGCTGCAAATGCACCCAAGTCCGATTCCGACTTTTCTTTGATGGCATTGATGTCGTCTCTTTCTCTTGGTGTCGACGTCACCAGCGACGATGCCCTCGACAAATTGGACGAAACACTCAATGGAAAGTCATTTTTGAWGGGAACMGCACCCTCGAAGGACGATGCCGAGCTTCTCGAGAAGGTGCTTAAGGCAGACGAGGCAGCCATCGCCTCGCGATCAAATGTGGCCGCTTGGTGCAAGCTTCTGGGCATGTTCACACCAGAAGTTCGTGCCACATGGGAGTAGATTCATAAGGCAACGATGAATTACATCATGTAWTTCACGAAAGAAATCAATTGATATAGATTGTCCGACAAAGAATGCGAGTCCACACACCTCTGTTGCAGCGGACGTGATAATATCAAGAATTATAATGAGATATTTCTATTGGATTKTTTTTTTTYCTCGATCAGGCATTCTCCCATGTTGAATATCCTAACAGTACGACGCGATATTTACTTGAAGAGATATATCATGAAATAAACATCAGGTCAAGCTGAAACAGATGTCTAAAATAAGGRTTTAACGGTGAAMTTCAAGGAATTCATAATTCGTAGTTTAGGCTTGAAGATTCTTGATGTCCTCTTCGAGTTGACTGTACTTCGCATTCACTGCTTCGTTTGTAACTGCTATTCCGTCCATAAGAGCCTCTTTGACACCAGCACTGATATCCTCCGGGGAGGCCGACTCATACCAATCTTCATCGAAATCAAATTCTGAGACTTTGTAATCGGGTTGGGGGTCCATTGGGTTCTTGGACGGAGAAAACGTGCAAGTAGCAGTAACTTTTCCGTCGGCGCCCTTTCCCTCGAAGGTTTCCGCTGCAAGCTCTTGATCGAGTTTATTTTTCTTTTGTGCCATTTCTTGTGCCTTCTTGAACATCGCGAGTTGGTCCATCATGCCGCYTCCTGCTTTCTTTTCACCTCCTTCGCCACCACCTCCGAACAAACTCAATTGGGTAGCCGACGACGCGATTGTTGGGTTGGGCGCGAATGCGCTGGCACTGCCAATGGCCATAGASGCGATGATTGCTGTAATCTTCATTRTTTCTATTTGTTGAAAGGATGTTGTTTGATCTACTGGTAACGATCTAGGTATTTGTTGCTGATACAGCTGAATTGCAGCAAGGTCGTACCGGTAGGATGGTCAACATTTCTGTTTCGGTGAATTTGTCATTCCATCGATCTTCTCGCATCAATCTCAACGAGTTACTTCAGGCTGACGCGTGGAATTTCAAACAGGACTAAAAGGACTATTTTTGTTCGTGAATATTCCGTCTGTCTGTTTTCCCTACTGTAACCATCTCACGAGTTCCGGGCCAATCAAGAACAAATAATTAGCACAATCATGGCAAGTCGATCTGCTATTAAAAAAGTACGAGCCCAAGGAATAGTAAGTACTACGAGTAGTACCCTACCGTACTACGACTAGATATTTCTATCAAGAGAACATTTATTTTAAATTATCGTTCGTACACATTTCGTGCGGGGAAACCGACAACGTGAAGGATACTACAGTACTATTATTGTCCTTCAAAAGTCTATTCCAACAACACAGCAGACAATTGTTCAACAATGACCTTGATCACGGACATAAAGACTCGGAAGGAGAAAAGAAAGGAAGCCAGAAAGAAAAGAAAGCGACACAGCCATTTTGTTCAAGACGAAACGGAAATTTCTTCCGCAATCAAGTCAAAGAACGATGAACCTGGCTTGAAAAAGATTCAGTCAAAGTCGAAGTCGTCCATTCAGGTCCCAAAGCCAACACCTTCAAATAGAGATAAAAAACGAATAAAGACAAAGAGTAAAAGAACGGTGGACAATAGTGCCGAACAATCCCCATTGTTGCACGACATCAATCCGGATCTTGCAGACGCAATAAGACGCGACGATGCCGAAATTGCTGAGCTGGAAAAACGATTGGGGATCACAGGAGGGAAGAAAGGCAAGGAAAAATTGAACAAAGAATACTCTAAACTAGAAGGTTATGGCGACGATTTTGGAGATTTCTTGGACGATCTAGACAACCTAGTCAGCCGTGTAACAACTGCCGATAAATATTCGGAGAATCCCAAGGACGTCGACAGCATGGAAGACGACTCAGGCGGAGAAAGCGAGCCTSAAACAAAAAGATCAAAGAAGAAAAAGCATGCAAAAAATGCAAATGATACACAGTCGTCGATGGAGGAAGAATACAATAGCGAATTTTCGTACGGCGACCTGGATCCCAGTGTGGCAGATGCATTGCGCAATGACGATGAAGAAATTGCCGCATTGGAAAAGAAACTGGGACTTTCAAAGAAAAAGGAAAAGAATAAATTATACAAAGAGTATTCAACATTAGAGGGTTTCGGAGATGATTTCGGAGAATTTTTAGACGATCTGGATGGTATGATGACACGAATAAAGAAACCAGGCAAGAATATGAAATATCCCACCGACAGAGGGGAGTCATCAGATGAGACKGGGARAAGCAGCGGAGGTGAAAGCGATGACGAGGAACTCGTTCCAATGAAAGGGTCAAGCGACGAMTTTGATGAAGACGATAGCGTCTTAGAAGAATTGGAAAGAATGGAACGCGAAGAAAATGCTTATGCAGGTGACTCGAACGATCGAGAAGATGACGGTGACAGAACAGAGTCTTCGAATGAAGAAAACAGTGAGGATTCAGCTAGTTCTGAAAGCGAGGACGACGGCAYAGAAGAGGAAGAAAAGGAACCGGATCATGACGTAGCAGATACATATCGGCCTTCCAYAGGAGAAGATATATACGGAAATAATATTGAATCGGAGTCGTCAGGTGATAAAAAACCTTCGAAGTATGTCCCGCCTCATTTAAGAAAGAAGCAGGTTGTTGGTGACAATGAGGAGGAAATACAACGACGTAGAGAGATTMTGCGATCATTGAACAATTCTTTGAATAGACTGTCGGAAGACACATTGATATCTGTTGCCCAGCAAGTCGCATCATTATATTCGTCGAATCCCACCCCACTAGTACACGAATTGATCTGGAAAAATGCCAAGGATGCTTGTATTACTTCTCCAATGTTCATGGTCGGATTGATTCCTGTTTATACTGCTTGTATCACCGGAGTGCATATTCAAACAGGTGATACAGTTCAAGTTGGTGAAAATATACTGGAAAATGTTGTCGTTGAACTGTTGGGTCGACTCAAAGCATCAAGAGAAAGGGATCCTGACGAGATTGATAACAACCGAAAAGAAATCGAAAGCAAACAGATCAGTAACTTGATGCTTTTCCTAGGTTATTTGTATAACTACGGGATTGTTCACTGTTCGTTCATATACGATGTTATCCGCCATCTAATCGAAAACTTTTCCGAGTCCGATGTCGAGTGCTTATTGATCATCTTACGTCACTGTGGGCGATCGCTGCGCTCCGACGATCCTACAGCACTAAAAGAAATCGTTTTGCTCGTTCAAAAGAAGAAAGTAGAAAACGACAAGCAGGTGCCCTCTAGTCGCACGGAGTACATGATTTCCGCAATCATGGATTTGAAAAATAACAGGAGGAAAAAAGAGGACACAGTCTTTACCGAGAAAGTTTCTAAATTCCGGAAAGTTCTCGGCAGAATCAAGGCATCTGCAGCCAAGGCTGGCCTTTCAAAAAGTTCTTCGGAAGCATCATTGCGAATTTCTTTGGATGATATTTTGAATGCAGGAACGAAGGGGAGATGGTGGAAGGTTGGAGCTTCGTGGGTAGGAAATCAGTACCGATTCTCAGAAGGAGAATCAAAGCAAGACGGTAAAAAGCCAGAAAGCCACAAGTCATTGACTTCGACGCTAGAGGACGGTGACGAAGAATTGCTCAAACTGGCATCCAAATTTCGAATGAATACCGATAGGAAAAGAGCGATTTTCTGTATTATTATGGGAGGGACAGACTGTGAAGACACATTTGAGAAATTGTGCCGATCGTCCATGCTACAAAATAGAAGTGAGAGAGACGCCGTTCGCGTATTGATGGAGTGTTGCGGAAATGAGAAGTCTTACAACAAGTTTTATGGACACTTAGCAGCACGGATGTGTGAATATCAACCTCAGAGCAAGTTTTCTCTACAACTAGCGTTTTGGGATATTTTTAAGCAGTTTGATAGCATTGGAGCTCGAAAGGTAGCCAACCTAGCCAAGCTTTTGTTTCACCTTGTTGTAACACATCACGCATTGAAACTTTTTCCAGTCATTAAGGCACTCGATCTTTCTGACGCAGAGGATATGGACGAGAATACGATGATATTTCTTACAATTCTTCTCTCGAGCATTCTTGAATATTTCCCCGATCCATCACAAGCTAAGTTTCTTTTTGCTCAACGCATGTCAAGATCCGAGAGCGATGACAGGGAGGACGATGGCGACGAAGCTACTAGGGCAAGCCTTCTCATCTTCTTCATGGAAACATTAAAGGCGAGCCCAAAAAATAAGAAAGGTTCTAGATTCCGAAAGAACTTCAAGGCTATTGTGAAAGAGTTGGATACAGATGGTTTCGAGGACATTTTCTAATATCAGTCTCCTAATTTTCAACATCAATCATTAGCTATGACTTTTCTTTGGCGTCTTTTTTCTTTGGAAGGACGTCCAACAAAGCCTTTTTCCAGTCTCCTTGGTTTTCTCTCCATTTCAAAAGAATCTCGAAAACGTGGTTGCACGTCAGTACTTTAGTGGAAACCATACTGAGATAATCTGTAATAGGTAATTTCGCAGTTTGTATTTCGAAGTTTTCTGCTCTGTCGATTGCCACCCGCTTGAGTCTATTTCGATCAACAATCCCACCGATGATGTAGATCTTGCCATCTTCCAATTTCGTCAGAGTATTTTCTGAATCACTTGTAAGATAGACAAGCTTCGTCTTGTCTTCACTTGTTTCAACAATATTCTTTTCTGTTTCGTGAAAGGCTCGATGTTCCCACTGATCAAAGCCGGAAACTTTCTCTAGTAGATCGCGCGTTTCTCCACCTAAACTACAAGCGGTTACTTTCACCGGGTGCTTTGCTTTCTTGTTCACCGCATAGCAGTATCTTATTTGATTGGCCAAACTGTTGATTTCAGACGATGTCATAGACTTCTCAAACGAACAGTCAATATACACCTGGTATTTGCTAGAAATTCTTTTGAAAAGTTGTTTCCAGCGTTCGTTCCGCCTTGCCCATCCACTCCCATCAACCCTCCTTCGTTCCATGTCTTCTTTCAAAGCCTCGATGTCTCGACCTTCTGCCTTGGCTTTTGCAATTTTTAAATTTTTCTGATGCTCTTTTTTCCGCTTCTTGTACTCCAACATCTTCTCCCACTTCCGTTCCCTCTTCAATTGGTTCTTTGACTTCTTTGTTTCGCCTTCTGTCTCGTCCACAATGGAAGACGACGACTCCATCTTTGTGTCGTCGCGCTTTTCAATTATAGTCGATGTTGATTGAGACGCTGGCTTAATTGCGTCTCCACTGTTCCTGGCTTCCTCCTTCTCTGCCTCTTTTGTACCTTGACTAGTCTCACTGTTCATACCGTATTCTCGCTTTGATGTTGATATCAATAAKATGAAAAGCTGTATCTATTCGTGATTTAGCCTCACACCGGTAGCCAAATTGTTTCAGAAAAAAAGTGAGAAATCACCATCGTCTGTGATCACGGTGTTCGTGATTCATTCGTTTTTGTGTCTGGAATGCCCTTTCAAATGCATACCGTACGTAGGACAGACTCCAGAAGACCAATCTTTTGTCGACAGCTTGATGACAAATGTGTGAATCCACGTGGAAGCATGGATAATTAGCGACAATTATGCCTGCTAATTGGGACATGCTTGGGACACGAGTCGAGATATGCTAGTTTATAATTTTGTATTCTAATTCTTAAGTAGCATGCCTCTATAGATAAGTATTTACCTCTTACACATGTTTTTATTTAGTTTATCAGATGCACTTACTGACCCAMATGACCATGGGAGTAAAAGCGAAATAGTCCCATAGGATAACTGTGCTATGAGCACTAATAACCAATGGGTACTAGCTCCCAGAGGTATAACAAGATGCCCGGTAGCTGACACATGTCTACAATATACCAATGTTAGCCTAGTACTACCGTATGTAGCATAAGTGAATTACAGCGGGTGCATGATCATGAATAGGGAATAGGCCCCCTCCCATTGGGGGTAAAACACARCATATCAAATTCTTCATRCATGAAGTTTGTATATGCTGACAGGCACRGCAATAAACATAACAACATTATTGGCAATGAAACGGCACTGATAAGTAGCTTGCTATATAAGTGTAGAGCTGGAAGAGCGCTCACAAAATAAGACAAAGCAGCAGCAACAATACTAGTATTGCAACAACAAAACAATGTCAAAAGAACCTCAACCCATCCAACCTAAGGAAAACACAGAATTAACTGCATACAAGACACTTCTCAGATTGTTTAAAATTGAYCAGCACACTGTTGACAAGATTTGTGAACATGGACTGCCCTTGATGCAAGATGTACTTGATTATGATGCTGATAAAGACTTTGAGAGTTTTCATAAACAATTAATCAAATGCCCAAGTACAAAGCAAGGAAATAAGTGTGTATTCCTCACGGTTGGTGGGAAGGCTGGAATAAGGCTGATGTAAAGCAATGGGTACATGACCGACAGCGGTGCTCCCACAAGATTAACGCGCAGCTGCTCAACCAACGCAAGGTTGAGCACACCAAACGTAGAATCAAGCAACTGAAAGCTGTAGAACAGGCCAATAAAGATTGGACTGTTGACTCCCCAATGAAATTCACAAGCTTCACAAAATGGGATGACTTCAAGGATTCATTTGAATTGTATCTCAAAARAATCACTAGGGCAGCTACCTGTCCCCTGTTGTATGTTCTTTGAGACAGATCAAAACCTGAACCAGCTGACAGGACCAGGGAGAACAATGCAATGGACACCAATAGTAAGTGGTATGTATTGAATGTGCACATGGGTGATGTCCCCTGGTAAYGTGAAGACAACAGAAGAGTCTRGGAGGATCTCAAGACAGCAACATTTACAACCACTGCATGGGAGTTTATCAAGAAGTATGATAAAGCCCAGGACTGGCAAAAGTGGGAGGGTGAGACAAGTAACTCAAGTGAGATAAAGATCAAWAGGGCATGGAAAGCAATCAATGAGACAATATGGAATGGCGCAYGGCAAAACTGGACCTTTKATGTGATTGTCAGAAAATTCCAGAAGGCGTACAACTATCTTGCCATTGAGGATGAGCCAGTCTCAGAAACCAAGAAAGTACGCAACTTCCTATCCAGGTCAGATGCAGGTAAAAGCTTTATTCAYRGAATAAAAATCCACAAGACCAACTTCACTGAATGTTGCCAATACCTAAAAACAATCCTAACCAGTATGAAGTACCCCAGTGATAACAAATCAAGCAGCAACTATCAAAGCATACAAAATGTATCAGCAAATTCAACCGGCGCTGAAAACACCTTCAGTAACAACAGTGGACCCAAGTTCACCGTTTAAAAGCCAAAAGCTATCCTTGACATATCTTCAAGCTGTTTTCTCCAGAACAGAAGGCTGAACTCAGATGTCTTTGTGCTGACTTTAGGTTGGAAAAGAAGAACAAGAGTGATGAAACAAGCCCCAACAATGGGATGACCAAGAAATAAAGACAGGCAGCTGCTGTGGCAGTGCAGAAGCGCAAAGAAAGGGACAGCAAGGATGAAATTGATGTGGTTAGCAATAACAAAGAAGACAACACATCATCAAGTCACCGCTTTGGTTCYTCTGTGCATAGAAACAAGAAGCAGAAGGTTGAATGACAAGTGATCAATCCAGCCACACAAACACYGTTCCAAATAGACTGATGTTTAGAATCACACATGAAGATCGATGTGAGCTTGATTCTCATGCCAATACTGTAGTTGCTGGAGCAATTCATTGAAACTTTAGATGAACATACACCAAGATTGGACATCAAACCATTTGCATCAACATATAAAAAGATAACTGATGTATCAATCAGTATGTGTGCAACAGTGTATGATTGCCCACGGACAGGACAAACAATCATCTTGCTGTTTGGACAGACTATAGTTTGGGGACCAAATAAAAGCCTCACTATTGTGCCCAAACCAGATACAGGATGCTGGAAATATTGTAGATGATACACCATCACAATGAAACAATAAGTTGTCTCACAGCATAACTCAACACAACTATGACAATTACCAGGATACATTGACTAGTATCCCACTGGAGCTTGATGGAGTAACATTGCACTTCCCTTCTTGTTGCCCTACTGATAGCAAAATAAATGATGACTTGCTTCAATTTTATTGGGTAACGTCTGATGATGAATGGCTTCTGCAMTCCACAAAATTTTTGAAAACAGAATTTGCTATAGCTCAGAAGGCTCCCAACATCCACAAAAATACAACATTGAATATATCAGCTGTTGCAATTGCTGAAGATGGCCTTCTACTTAATCGCCTTCTTACACATCACCTGTTACCMTGTTCCCTCACTGGGGACGCATGCACGACACCAGCACTCAAACAACAAATCCAAGAATGTTATGAAGTCTCAAGACTGAAAATTGACAGCAACAATCAAGCAAAGCATGCAACAAGGTTGATCCATGAACAGAATAATGTTGACCCAAAAGACAAGGAAAATTGTAACCCAAATGTGAATTTGCTGTAGATGCCATGAGGCACATATGGTTTAACCACAAACAAAATGATAGTCACAGCTGAGTACATATCTAGACATTGGAATATAGGGCTGGAAAAAGCTAAGAAAACAATACAGGTCACAACTCAAAAAGGATTGAGACAAATTAATCAGGCCCCATATGAACAATTTCAACRACAATTATTCCACAGAAAACGATTGATCCAGGGGAAATGGTACTTTGACACTACATTCTACAAGTGCAAAAGTATAACTAATGAAGATTCTGCAGCACAAGTCACTACCAATGGAAAGGGGTTTGCACATTTCTGTGCAATAAGATCAAAAGGACAAGCACATGATGGACTGATGGACTTCATAAATATGGTTGGAATCCCGGAAAGGTTAAATATCAATGGCAGCAAAGAACAATGAGCTGAGACCACATCTAACACTCAATGGATGAAACTAGAAAAGTGTTACTGTATCCACCAGACCTGGACTGAGCCACACTCACCATGGCAGAGCCTTGCAGAGCAAGAGATTGGAGATATCAAATGTGAAATGCGTAGATATATACAGACCAAGAATAGCCCAATACAACTATGGGCTTTCCTGGGGAATTATGTATGCGGCAAGAGACCCATAACAGCATCTAACATACCAGAGAACAATGGCAGAACACAATATGAAATAGTTATGGGACACACACCTGATATAGTGATTTGGCTATTGTACAGATGGTATGACTGGCTTTACTACTTAGACAAAAATAAAGAAACAAAAATAACTGGATGGCTAGGACCTGCACCAGAGTATGGTTCAGGGGACTGCTGCTGGATATTGCCAATATCATGTCGCCCAATAGTATGAGTTTGGGTAATGCCAAAAGAAGACTTAGATACAAGTGAAAGATGCAAAGAGACGGAGCACTGTGATGAATCAATTTGGAAAAGAATAGGGGATTCAAACAAAGAAGGTGGATCTATTGATAATACAAAATCAAACGCTCTAGATTACAATGACCCACTTGAGGATGATGACAAAACAGACACAGTGTACATCCATAATGCAGGGGAGCATATACCTGACCCTGACAACTATACACCAGAAGCATATGATGAATACCTCAACTCCAAGGTTATGATACCAATGGGGAACAAGAGGATTTGTGGTGTAGTAAAGAAGAGGGTTAAAGACAATGATGGACTCCCTTTAGGCAAACGGAATGCAAATCTGCTGCTAGACTCAAGACTATACAAGGTCAAGATGCTGGATGGATCAGTTGAAGCATACTAAGMAAACTTAATTGCTGCTGAAAATATTCACTCYCAATGTGATGATGAAGGGTTCACATACACGTTAGTGGACAAGATTATAGATCACCAGATGAATGACCAGGCAATAAGAATAGAAGATGGATGGGTTGACKAGAAGAGCAGCAGACCCAGGGGGAAAACAA